GGGCTTTAGATATGCTCGTTGTTCGTGAATGCCACTGCTTCCAGGCCCTAAGAGTGGCCAGAGCTGGCAAATGTGTGTATGAAAATGTGTTGGCAGTTTCTTTCTCCCATGCCAGCTCTGCTATGTCTCTAGTATGTTTCCCTTTCTTTTCTCTCTTATTTCTCTAATAAACTTTGCTTTAAAATTAAAAAAAAGAAAATGTGTGATACATATCATAAACATGCACAAATATGCATTTGTGTGTATACACTTTTGCATCTATATTTATTTATATATGTTTGTATATATTAATCTATTTATTATTAGAAATATTGAAATATGCAATAAAATATGTATTATATATAACTATACATACATACAGATATAGGAGTTCATGTGATACATCTAGTTCCAATACAACACTATAGGCTTTTTTTTCCCTAAGCACTTAATGAAAACAATTTAGTGCAAGTATTAGAAATAAGGACTAATATCCCTTCCTTTGAAATACTTGACTTTGTGGTAATAGTCATAACAGCTGTCCTCTTTGGGATAAGAAGTTCCTGATTTCATTCATGCATTTGTCTGACAGCCATCTTCCCTGGAGGATATTACTTCCTTCAGAATTAGTGGCATGTAGCTTTTCTTTCTCCTTATTTGTGATGACCTGTTTTGAAATTCTCATGGAGATCAAGTTTTCTCCCTTTCCATATCTGTTATGCCCTTCTCCTGGATTGAGAAGCTTGGCTCTGATTATTCTTATATGCTGATATAGTTTGAATTGTTGTTCCCTTCGAATTTCGTGTTAAAATATGATACCCGGTGTTGGAGGTGGGACTCAGTAGAAGGTGACTGAGTCATGGGGGTAACCCCTTGTGAATAGCCAGTACTATTCTCATGGTAATGTGTAAATTCTCGCTCTATTCTTTCACCTGAGAACTAACTGTTTAAAAGAGCCCAGCACCACCTTTTCCACTTTTGCTTCTGTTCTCATCATGTGATATGCCTTCTTCCTCTCTGCCTTGTGTCATGATTGGAAGCTTCCTGAGGCATCACCAGATGCTGATGCCATGCAAAACCATGAGTCCACAGAAACCTCCTTCCTTTATAAAGTGTCCAGCTTTGGGTATTTTTTTTTATAGCAATGCAAAATGAATGAATACATATGCTAACCTATCTGATCTGTAATCCCATATGTAGCCAATGTCTGATCTTCATCACCATCTCTACCCATGTGAAGATACTCTCCTCTCCCCACATGAGCTCTGACTCCCTATTCTAGTCTGCCACTCTGAGTGAACACTCTCCTACTCACCTCTGGCTCTGACTGTGACCTGTGCAGATGGCCTCCTGACCACTCTTGGTCTCTGAAGGGCACCCTCCTCTCCTTGCCCTGACTTCAATTTTCTACATTGGGCATATCTCACCTGAATGCTCTCCTGTCTGTCCTTCTTAGGTTCTGACCCTCCATGCCAGGCTGTCCCTCCCCATCATGTGGGTGTCTTCTTCACCCTGCTTGGGGTCTACCATTTCATGCTAGGCTCCCCGCTTGTAGATACTTTCCTTATCCCACCTGGGCTCTGACACCTGCTCTGGGCCACTGTCCCTCTCTACCCTTATCACAGACACCTGCCTTGTTCTTCCTCAACGAGTGACTCTGGAACTGAAATGTTCGGGAAGGGATGATCTCATCTAGCTTTTTTTTTTAAATGAGGAAATGGGGCACAGATCAAATTAGTGGCAGCATCAGTACAAATCCAGGTCTCCCCGAGGGTAAACTGGGTGAGGATGGGGACCTTATGTCTCTCATTCACTATTTTACTTTCAGTGCCCAGCACAATGTCTGCACTGAGTACAATGAAAGAATAAATGAATGATTTCCTGGTTAGTTCTTTTCCTTTTCTTCTTTGTCACTTGTGTGTGTGTGTGTGTGTGTGTGTGTGTGTGTGTTGTGTGTGAATACTGGTGACCATTTACACATTTGTTTATAGTCAATAGTAATTCATGACCTTACATAAATGCCAACATCTTTGTTTCTGTGCCTAGGGATTTATTTTATTCCATGAATTTATAGAGTTCCTAGCTGGGTAGGTGGCAAGACTTATACACTTTTTCCTGTGGCTGAGGACATGGAAGCCCTGAGAGGCAACAGCCATTCAGCATCCCAAGATTCCCGTACTTCAACTGAGTGTGGAAGAGGGAGTGTCTGAGCCCAACTGCAGTTAGTTTTCCCATCATTCGACTACAGTCCCTTCAAAATATTTGGAACCTTACAAGAGAGAAACATCATCACCAAACGGCAAACTCAGGTCCCTCGATCAATTCACTTAATCATACTATTCAACTAAGATCATTCTTCAGATGATCATGCAGGGTAGTGTTTCCAAGCATATTCCAAAGAACCTGATCCCTGAGAGTTCTTAAGAACAGGGTTCTGCGGTCAGATAACGTCAAGAACCTGACAATTCACAATGGACAAGAGCATATGGAAGGCTTTAAGAAATCCTAGAGTGGGCCAGGCTCGGTGGCTCACCCTGTAATCCCAGCACTTTGGGAGACCGAGGTGAGTGGATTGCCTGAGCTCGCGGGTTCGAGACTAGCCCGGTCAACTTGGTGAGCTCTCATCTCTACAAAAAAAAAAAGAAAAAAATTTGCTGGGTATGGTAATGCCCGCCTGTAGTTCTGGTTACTTGGAAGGATGCGGTGGAAGGTTTCCCAGAGTCCAGAAGGTCGATGCTGGGGTGGCTGTGAGTGTACCACGGCACTCCAGCCTGGGCGGCAGAGTGAGACACCATCTCAAAAAATAAAAAAAAAAAAAGAGAAGAGAAGAAAAAAGAGTGGAGAAAACAGTTTAACTTTGTGTAACGTGGTGTCATCCACATTTACCTAACTGCAGAACTCCTGTTCAGAGTAATAGCAGCCTCAGCCTCATTTCTTTATTCATGCAATGGGCAAATATATTATGTTACATGGGGCTTTTATACACAATAAGTGAGATACAGATATGTGAGTTTTGCAGCACAGTGCTTGATGTACTCTAGGCATTTGAGAAGTGCTAATTTCTTTTCTTAGATTCATTATTAGTTGAAAATCATTCTTTCAATTATAAGCTGACCCTGAACATTTACCATAATACTATAAGAAAGGGATTGGCAGGGATACTGCCAGGGTAGGGGCGGGGACACAACATCAATAAGGGTAACGGATCTCAAACCAGGCAAAGTGGGAACCAAAGGGAGGCCCAAACTTTACCAGTACGATGTCTACTTGTATACCTAATCCTGAATTATATCCTACATCTTTAAAATAAAATAGAAAAAAAATTGGAACAATACCTCTGGGGGAAAAATTTGCAAAAAAAAAAAAAAGAAAAGAAAATCATTCTTTTATTGAATAATACTTATATATTAAAGTATTACATATAGGTATATGTTTATTTATATATAAGTATATATTTATTTATGTCTATGTATTCTTTATATATAAGTATATATTTATATATAAGATATATTTATTTTATAATAATTGAAAAAAGTAAATTCACAAGTTTAAAGCTTCAAACAATAAAAGGGACATAAAAAGAAAAAAAGTTTCTCCCACCTCAGATTCCCCAAGAGGAATTTATGCACTTTTACAGACATTTTTGGTTCATATACCTGCAGAAATATCACAGACAGATATTTTAAAATCTAATCATTGTTTTTAAGAGTAATGAATTCACTTTATTTTGTACCTCTAAGTTCTTCCATTTTGTGGCCCATCAGTCTGTTTCTGTGATACTCTTGGGTGGAGTAAAATTATACCTTATGTTCATGTCTCCAAAGCTAAACTTTGGTAAAGTGAGTTTTACACAGAAATAAATAAATAAATAAATAAATAGGCCAGGTGCAATGGTTTATGCCAGTAATCCCAGCACTTTGGGAAGCAGAGGTGGAAACATTGCTTGAGACCTGGAGTTCAAGAGCCGCCTGGGCAACATAGCAAGACCTTGTCTCTGAAGAAAGAAAAAAATTAGCCAGGGGTGGTGACACAGGCCTGTAGTCCCTGCTACTTGGGAGGCTGGGGAAGAAGGATCGCCTGAACCCAGGAATCTGAGGCTGCAGTCAGCTATGATCTTGCCACTGTACTCCAGCCTGAACAACACAATAAGACTCTAAAAAACAAACAAACAAAAAGTTGTTTGGAGGTTAACAAAATATCAGCTTAAATGTAAACTCTTGCTGAATACTCTCTGAAGAAATGAATGACCTAATACAGAGGTCTCGGATTTACGATAGTTCTACTTAATATGTTTTTCAACTTACAATGTTCATTCCGTAGAATCCATGCTTGATGTACCCATAAAACTGTTATGTTTTTCACTTTTATTCTAATATTTAGTAAATTCCATGAGATATTTGATACTTTATTATAAAATTGTCTTTATGTTAGGTGATTTTGCCCAACTATAGGCTATTGTAAGTGTTCTAAGAACATTTAAGGTAAACTAGCTAAGCTATGATGTTCAGTGGGTTAGGTGTATTAAGTGCACTTTTGACTTATGATATTTCCAACTTATGGTGGATTTATTGGGACGTAATCCTATTGTAAGTCAAGGAGCTTCTGTACTCTGTAATAACTAAACTTGATTATCCTCATTTTAGCAGTTACACTTCTTCAATCTGTTCATTGTCTGGACGTTCACCCTTTGACCCTCCTGGCTAGTCCCTCCCTTATACTTTTTATTGCCCTGAGTTATCTCCCTTTTCCCATAACTCTAATCATATTTTTCACGTTCTCCTTTGCTGAAGGATGAGGAAATTGCAAGCCAAGTGCGCACCTCTTATTAGGTGATTTGAACGGCGTCCTGCTGGATTAACTCCAGAAGTCCTAAGCTATGAAGACATCTGCCTGATGGGAGATCACTGAGAGGAGACATCCTTTTTCTGTTTTAGGATAGCTCCTGACTAAAGTGATTAGCTCAAGAAGAAAAGAAGCTAGCTGTCTTTCGCTCAGGCGCTCATCCATGATTTGACTTCACCATGGCTTCCTGCCATGCCTGTCACGTCAGAGTGCTGGTGGCCGTTGTGTGTGGGCTGCTGACAGCTCTCGTTGTGGGTCTGGGCATCTGGAGGCTTGTGATCAGGAGCCAGAGAGGTAATGTTGTCCGCTGCATTTAACCCAGAGCAAGAGAAGGCAGTGAGCCTCTGTCCCTGCCACCTGACAGTCCAGTCCTGGAAGGTGCCTTGTCTGGGATGAGGCTGCTCATTAAGGTGCTGTTGATGGGATATTAAAGACAGGATCAATTGCTGGCTAGCAAGGGCATCAGCAACGAGTATGTGTGTGAGTCTGAGTGGGCTGGTGGAAGAACGACAGGGTTGAATTGGCTGTTGTTGGCTCTTTTAAATCCACACTGAATTGATAGTAGAATGATAATTAAAATCATTAATAACTCATGTTTGGTTTTGTTTGGCTAGACCCAAGAAAGGTAACTAGTTGTGAACAAACACTGCCTCCTCCCTAAACACACATACATGCTCTCCAACGTGCACAGAATGTATTTTGGTTTCAAGAAGGAAGTTTAAGAATGTTATCATTAAGGTTGTAAAATAAAATAATCGTATGGTTTACACACACATTTCCCACTCTCCAGGTGCAGAGAACTAACCAAAAATTAAGAACATTTTAAAAATGAGTTTCCTGGTTATTTCACAAATATTTGTCATCTCATGCCGTGTGCCAGAGCTGACCTGGGAAAGAGAGATGGGGGAGGGGCAATAGTGTGTCAACCCATGTTAAAGAAAAGCCTTTGGGAACTCACAACAGAAATTGTCAATCATCCTAGTGCTGGTTCCTTTGGGCTGCAAAGTGTATTCATAAAGGGATTCAAAGTTGGGTGTGTGGAACACTCTCCCCTTAAAGAAAAAAATCAGAGAAAGTTTTTAATGAAGCTGAATAATGAAGGATAAATAATGCCAGACAAGAGAGGCAGCAGGAGAGGCAGTGTACCTTCTGCTAATATTTAGTAAATTTCATGAGATATTTGATACAGGTCACTGCGGAGGACAGAAGGTTGGGGAACCAGCAGGTGCCCGGAGCATGGCTGTTAAGAGCCACCGTTGAGGACCAGAGAAGCCCTATGTATTGGCCACTGATAGAGGTGGGAGCTGGGGATAGATCTGTCCTCTCCCCGACCTGCACCCTAAACGGTATTTAGAAAATGTTGCATTAAGAATATTTACAGAACCAGAAGGAGAACATTTACCAAAACAAAAATAGTAAAATTTAAACTTGGGGAAAATGTGTTTTCGTTGGTTGGTTTCAGGTTTGTAAAATAGTTTAATTCAGGTTTTAAAAAATTATAAACTGCGGATTTTACCCTGTTAAGGCTGACAAATTTATAAGACCTCATTTAAAGAATCTTTATAATTTATAATACCTCATGTAAAGAAGTTTTTTTCTTTCTTTCATTTCTCCCTCCCTCCCTTCCTTCTTTTCTTGTTATTTATAGGACATCTGCTTTTGTAGGGAAATTTGTGGTGAACTATACGGGACACAGTTATATCAGAATTATTAAAACAAGAACCAAAGTACAAACATAACATAAGAAAGATTGCAGGGTGGAAGACAAAGTGTAGGAAAGTTAAGGGGTTAGGAGGATTTGCTTAGAGTAAATGCTCACACGTTCCTGTCCTTACTGAGGGCTAAGACCCAAAAGGAATCATAATAAGTCATAAAGATGCCATGTCTAACAGTAATGGGATACCGGCTCCTCAAAGAGACAAACTTTTCCTTTGTTCTGAGCAGAGTTTTTCCACTGGCTGTTTATTTAAGGGACCTCCCTCCACTATTGAGTAAATCCAGTAGGAAAGGAAAGGGTTATTGCTATCAATTAAAGAAAGAGACAGAAAGACTGGCACTGCTCGCTGTTGCTATTTTGCCTTGTATGTTTTATTCAGAGTGTGTTTTAGCTGACAAATTCTGTTTCATTCCACTTCACTCCATTCCACTCTATTCTACCTCTTCCATCCCATCCCATGCAATTGCTTTGATCCCTTTACTTGAGTATAGAGATGAATTATCTTAAAATTTATTTTTTTAAGGGGGACAGAGGTTACACATATCTTAGAGAAACTGATGAAAACAACAAATGTCTTAGTAGGAAAAAATATACATAAACACACAAAATTTTAGATCTATTATTTTAATTGCATTCAAAATTTGTTTTATCAACATAAATAGAATACATAAATCACACTTACCACACTTATTTTTTATGAAAAAGTAAAATGGCTTCTGAAAAATAGAATGTAAACTTTGCTCTGAGTAAATTTCAATGAGAAGTTACTCCTTTTTTTTTTTGAGTTGGAGTCTCACCCTGTCGCCCAGGCTGGAGTGCAGTGGCATGCTCCTGGCCACCGCAGCCTCGACCTGCTGGGCTCAGGCAATCCTTCTACCTCAGTCTTCCAAGTTGCCGGAACTACAGGCATGCACTACCACACCCAGCTAATTTTTTGATTTATTGTAGAGAAGAGGTCTCACCATGTTGCCCAGGCTGGTCTTGAACCCACAATTCTCTCAGGCAATTCTCTTGTCTTGGCCTCCCAAAGTTCTGGAATTTAGGCTTGAGCCACCATGCCCGGCCTGCGAAGTTACTCTTATCTGGCTATAGAGTGAACATTGATGTATCAATGCTTATGCTATTTATGCATTTAATTATTAGAATACTTAAAATTTCAAAAATTCTTACTATGTTCTAGGTACTATGCTAAAAACTTCACTGACCTTATCTCATTTAATCCTGACAACTGCCTTTGAGACAGATATTGCCACATCTATGTTACAAATGGGGAAACTGAGGTTCAGATAACATTTTTGTGCTTCTGTGAGTAGAAGGTATTGGGTCTAGATTTGAACCTAGATCATTCTGACTTCAGTATCCATGGTCTTAACTTTCACACTATTCTGCTTTCCTAGGGGGAAGACAATGGTAACACAAACTAATGACTTCATCTTTTCTTTTTGAGGCAACAATGGCTAAGAACCCATATTCACAAAGATAGGCAGTAAGCAGCAGAGTCAGAGCATTCTGTTGTTTTGCTGAACAAAGGCTCTTTGGGAGTCACACTGCCTTCAAGTCAATGTGATCTGCATTCTCAATGCTGTGTATCAAGTATAGATTAGGGTTCGTGTTTTAAGTTTAAGATTTTCTGAACTTCAAATGGTGTCTGTAGATTTTCGACTGTAGATTAATTGCCATGGCTTTGCCACCTTCTACTAGGTTGTGTGGAAGTGCTTCCTCCAGGCTGCAATTATATGGCTATCTGTCTTTGATCTTCTAGTCCAGAGCAGCAAGAGATTGCCTTTTCTTTTATTTTTTCCCATGTGCGTTGGAATCTCACTCTGTCTCCCAGGCTGGAGTGTAATGGCACAATCATGGCTCACCACAGCCTTGATCTCCTGGGCTTAGGTGATCCTTCATCCTCAGCCTCCCTCCCAAGCAGCTGGGAATACAGGTGTGCATTACCATGCCCAGATAATTAAAAAAAAAAAAAATTCTTTTTTGCAGTCACAAGGTCTTGCTTTGTTGCCTAGGCTGATCTTGAAATCGTGGGCTCAGGCAATCCTCTTGCTTTGGCCTTCCAAACTGCTGGAATTACAGGCATGAGCCATGGTGCCCAGCTGTGAGACTGCATTATATAGCTATATTCTTTGGCTTTTAATGGAGTTATTTCTCACATTTGCATAGTCTCAAACATCTAACAGCTATCAAACAAGCTATGAATGAGCTCAGCTCTAATTATTCTAAGTGTGACTTTTCCTTTTACTTTAAAAAATGAATCACTTGTTAAATATCAAACAAGCATTTCAAGATATGGCCACTAGGATGCCAGTAAGCTTCTGTGTAGTATAGAAAAGTTTTTGCATTCTGCTCCTTAATTAATAAGGACTCTTGTTGAGAGATCATGGTTTAAGGTCTGGTCTTGATAAATTTGACATTTCACAGGAGTAAACAAGACTTCTTTCAGAATTTCTGAAATAGTCTTTGGCATTTTTATTTGCGGTTGATGGAAACATTAAATAAAATAATCTTTTTTCAACAAAGGAGCACAATGAGATACATTGCCAAGTATAACACTGTCTTCATCTGTTTTCCCAGGAACAGGATTTCCTATCCATTTGAAGTTTTGCTTGGTAAAGAAAGTTTTCAAAACTATTAATGACCTTTTCCAAAAGGAGCCTAAGACTTGAAGTTCTCTGGTGATGGCAGTTTACCCAGAGTTTTTATCCAGTGTTTCACATGGCTGTCTCCTTCTTTGATGATTTTGGTTAGGTTGAATGTCACCTCCTCAAGAGACTTCTATTCACTCAGTCTATCAGCCATTTGCTTTCTTTTATGTGTATTTTTTTATGGCTTTTATCATTATTTCTTGATTTACTGGTTGATTGTCTGTCTTCCCATTTCTAGAATGAAAACTCTAAAAGAACAAGGAACCTTATATACTATTGACCTGCATTCCCTGCATCTAATAGTACATGAAATATAGTTGCAAATACATAGTTGAAGTAAATAAAAGAATCACATAAACACTAGAAATGGGACTGTCTTAGTCTATTTGGGCTGCTATAACAAAACACTACAAACAACAGAAATGTATTTCTTACACTTGCAGAGGCTGGGAAGTCTGAGATCAAGGTATTTGCAAATTCGGTGTCTGGTAAGGATTTGCTTTCAAGCAAAAGAAGGCATCTTTTTGCTGCATCCTTATATAGTAGAAAAGAACTCTGATCTCTTCAACTCCTTAAGGGAAGAGTACTAATCCTATTCATTCGGGCTCCACCCACATGATCTAATCACCTTCCAAAAGCCCCATCTCCTAATACCATCACATTGGGAATTAGATTTCAACAGATGAATTTTGAGGGGAACACAAATTCAGTCCATAGCATGATCCAAGAGTTGTCAAATAGTTACATTCAGAAGAGAAATAACATAGCTACCAATTCCTTGTGATTTGCTTGAAAATGTAGAAAGAATTGTGAATCTGGATTTGTTAAGAACAGCATCATTTTAGAAGAATTTAGACTCTTTCAATTTAGAAAGACACATTTTAGTTTTTTGTTCCAATCCATGCGACATATGACCATTTCTAGGA